ACAAGAGCAGAACCTTTTTTTTACATTTGGACCAAAACGACGACGTGGCTCTGAACAAACCTTGGAGTGTGACTCATGAAGATCATCAGACCAGAGCAGGACTTTTAAACACGGGGAGAACATGCAAACGTCACACAGAAGAGTCCTCACACAGTCTGGAGTCTCTGCTCTCATTCTGGTTTGACTTTATTCTTTTTTATTTTTCCAGGTGAAGAATTAACGACCTTAAATCATTTGGTAAATCATTTTTTACTTGCTTCTCTAGAGACATAGAAATGTTTAAATATTTAAAACAGAACGTGAGATTTACACAACAGAGAAATACGCCCGACAAAATGGTCAGAAACAAAAAGAGACGAGATCCAACTTCCACATCCTCATCTCAGTGGAACAGAACCCAGATCTGGATCCATTGTTTTTTGTTTGTTTGTTTGTTTTCCACTGCACAAAACTTGAAAAACTATTAGTTAGTAAACTAGTATTAAAAGTATTTTTAAAAGTATTAAGTATTAAAATTAAAAAGTATAAAAAAAAAAAAGTTTAAAAGTATTTTTAAAAACTGGATGTGAGAAACATTGAGGTTCATAGTTCCTAAAAACCAAATGCCTGTGAATATATATATATTTTTAACATTATAATCTATAATAATAATAATATATTTATAATTTGGATGTGTTTTGTGTGTTTTGTGTTGTCAGCATTATTACCTGAGCTCGGAGGTGGATTTACAGGAGCAGGTGGTGAGGCTGAGGAAACTGCACCACCTGCTGGAGATCCTGGGGACCTGCACGTCGTTCCTGGGGCTGCCGTATCATCGCCTCTTCCTCCTGACGCAGTGAGCTCAGAGTCAAAGAAATAAAACCAAATAAAACCCTGACCTCAGGTTTATTGTTTTATAAAATAAAATCACACAAACAGACTGTGTGTTTTCTCTTCACACAGATCGTGTCTGCAGCATTACAAAACAAACCCCTACGACGAAAACCACGTCTTCAAACTGCCCCTGCAGCCCTCGCTCCTCACACACTTCTACCACAAGTGAGTAGAGACGCTTCTACAAGAACTTTCACTTTACAGCAATATTTGGAACAAAGGAAGCACAAGTTTTGAACAAAAATTAGAGAATTATGTTTAAAGGTCCAACATCACACAAAACAGACTCCTGTGAGTCATGTTCTGATGTTCTGATGTTCTAATGTTCTGATGTTCTAATGTTCTGATGTTCCCTCGTCACACACAGAACTGGAGTTGTGTTTGTTTCATTCACATGTTTGAGTAACTCTCTGTTCCACCTTGTGATGTCATGATGTAGTTTAGAATGTATTTCTTTGGAGGATAGTTGGAGGACAGATGTTTTACCATCTCGTTTTGGTGAGGTTCCTTTCCAAGTTTCCAAGTGAACAGCTCCTTTTCCCTTTAGTTCAGTCGAGATCAGTGAAGTGCCGTGAAAATGAAAGTTCATAAGACTAAATTAAAAACATTTTCATTTGATATAAATACATACTTCAGTGATCATATTTTTATTTGATCATTTTATTGACAAAATCAGGATTCTTAGCACACACATTATTTAAAAATTAAAAAAAAAGTTTCTGGACATGGTCCGTCTGCATTTTTCACGTTTATATTTCTGTTCCTCACATGTGCTCGTCCCGCAGACGTCTGGTGTGTTTCAGTTTGATAAAGCTTCAGTTCTGTGTTCCTCATGTTCCTCATGTTCCTCATGTTCCTCGTGTTCCTCATGTTCCTCATGTTCCTCGTGTTCCTCATGTTCCTCGTGTTCCTCATGTTCTTCATGTTCCTCATGTTCCTCGTGTTCCTCATGTTCCTCGTGTTCCTCATGTTCCTCATGTTCCTCGTGTTCCTCATGTTCCTCATGTTCCTCGTGTTCCTCATGTTCCTCGTGTTCCTCATGTTCCTCGTGTTCCTCGTGTTCCTCGTGTTCCTCGTGTTCCTCGTGTTCCTCATGTTCCTCATGTCGTGTTCCTCGTGTTCCTCATGTTCCTCATGTTCCTCGTGTTCCTCAGGGAGCGCCCGGTGCTGTGGGGGGTGGAGGTCTCCAGTGGACACGGACCTCGTGAGGTCAGAACTTTCCTGCAGCTGAGCGAGCGGCCGCTGGTGGAGCACGTCGTCTTTGACTCAGGTTCATTCTTTCAGTTTCAGTTTCAGTTTCAGGAGCGACTCTCGTGTCTCGTGTTATAAAAGTGTCTGATTTGTTTGTCAGATTATGGAAGTGACTCGGTGAACGGAGACTCTGACGACTCGACCTTTTTCTCCACTTTGGTTTGTTGTAGTCTGGTCACTTTTGCATAAACTCTTATTTAAACAGACACATGTGAATAAATGTAAAATATAAATTTAAATATGATCAGTGTAAAATAAAGCAGCAGATCAAACTTCACACTCGGTTTGTTTTTGTCACAGCATTTTTAATAAAAGTTTCCAGTGCACTCAGATCAGCGTGTGGCGTTTGTTCGTTAATAAGCTGCATTTCAATCACTTCAAAAGACGACATTGAAACTCTCGGTGGTTTTACTCTCACAGTGTTAAAGTGTTTAGCTCCGCCTCCTCAACAGAAACATGAGGAAAACTGCACTGATCAGGATGGACAGAGTGCACACGGTCGGGACCACGATCTCAGTCACCATCTCCATGTGGCTCGTCAGAGGATCTGAAACACAAACTCAAACATCTCAACTCTTCAGGTTGACGTGGGAGGAGCCTGGACGGAGCTCAGCGCTCAAAGGGTTAAGAGTCGATTCAAAGTGGAGTTGTTTCTTACCATGGATTAGTCTGAGAATATTGGCAGCAGTGTTCCTCTGTTCCTCTAACGAGAAAAGACAAGGAGTTTAACCCTTTGAGAACTAAAGCAGCAACAACAGGACACACACACACACACACAAAACACACACAACACAACAAACATACACAAAAACACACACAAACACACACAACACACATACACAACACAACACACAAAACACACAAACACTAGACAACAACTAAACTGTTTAAAGTGTGTGTACAGCCTGTGTAGTGTCGATACATGAGCACAGAGCAGGAGAGGCACAGGGCTCATTTACAACAGTGTGTGTGTTGTGTGTTGTGTGTGTTGTATGTGTGTGTTGTATGTGTGTTGTGTGTGTGTTGTGTGTGTGTGTGTGTTGTATGTGTGTGTGTTGTGTGTTGTGCGTCATGTGAGTCGTGCTTCTGAGTGTTTTATTAGTTTGAATCAAAGTTGGAGTGAAATAAAGATAAATTGTACCATTATTCTACACCTCATCGTGCACAGGCCAAACCTTGGGCACTGTGTCTCTGTGCTCCAGGTTCTGTGCAGCAGCTGCAGGGGCAAACAAAAAAGATCATCTCAGACACAGGACGGACGTGACTGAAGGTCCAGACGCACGTTCAGATCAAATCCCAATTTAATCATCTATAAAAATCTGTTTTATGATGTTGAGTCTTTGTTTGTTCACCCCGGCTCCATTTATCAGCTTTAGTCTCATAAAAACATTCACCTGCAGCTAAAAGGACTAGCAACACCAGGTCATCCAGGTCATACACCAGGTCATACACCAGGTCATACAGGTCACACACCACCGGGTCATACACCAGGTCACACCGGGTCCAGGTCACACTCCAGGTCAGGTCACACACATCAGGTCACACACCCCAGGTCATACACCAGGTCACACACACACACACACACCAGGTCACACACACCAGGTCACACATGAGCAGGTGTTGTGGTCAGTGGTAGATGTTGGGTGTTGGGTGGTAGAATGTTGGGTGTTGGGTGTTTGGGTGTTGGGTGGTAGTGTTGGGTGTTGGGTGGTAGATGTTGGGTGTTGGGTGTTGGGTGTTAGTGTTGGGTGTTGGTGTTGGGGTGGTAGATGTTGGGTGTTGGGTGGTAGATGTTTGGTGGTGTTGGTAGTGTTGGGTGTTGGGTGTTGGTGGTGGTGTTGGATGTTGGGTGGTTGGGGTGTTGGGTGTTGGGTGGTAGATGTTGGGTGTTGGGTGGTAGATGTGTGGGTGTTGGGTGGTAGATGTTGGTGTTGGGGTGATGTTGGGTGGTAGATGTTGGGTGTTGGGTGGTAGATGTTGGGTGTTGGGTGGTAGATGTTGGGTGTTGGGTGGTAGATGTTGGGTGTTGGGTGGTAGATGTTGGGTGTTGGGTGTTGGGTGGTAGATGTTGGGTGTTGGGTGGTAGGTGTTGGGTGTTGGGTGGTAGATGTTGGGTGTTGGGTGGTAGGTGGTAGGTGTTGGGTGGGTGTTGGGTGGTAGATGTTGGGTGTTGGGTGGTAGATGGGTGTTGGGTGTTGGGTGTTGGGTGGTAGATGTTGGGTGTTGGGTGGTAGATGTTGGGTGTTGGGTGGTAGATGTTGGGTGTAGTGTTGGGTTGGTAGGGTGTTGGGTGGTAGATGTTGGGTGTTGGGTGGTAGATGTTGGGATGTTGGGTGTTGGGTGGTGGTAGGTGTTGGGTGTTGGGTGGTAGATGTTGGGTGTTGGGTGGTATGTTGGGTGGTAGTGTTGGGTGTTGGGTGTTGGGATGTTGGGTGGTGGTAGAGTGTTGGGTTGGTGTTGGGTGTTTGGGAGGTGTGTGGATGGGTGTTGGGTGGTAGATGTTGGGTGTTGGGTGGTAGATGTTGGGTGGTAGATGTTGGGTGTTGGGTGGTAGATGTTGGGTGTTGGGTGTTGGGTGGTAGATGTTGGGTGTTGGGTGGTAGATGTTGGGTGTTGGGTGTTGGGGTTGGTGTGTTGGGGTGGTAGATGTTGGGTGTTGGGTGGTAGATGTTGGGTGTTGGGTGGTAGATGTTGGGTGGTAGATGTTGGGTGTTGGGTGGTAGATGTTGGGTGGTAGATGTTGGGTGTTGGGTGGTAGATGTTGGGTGTTGGGTGGTAGATGTTGGGTGTTGGGTGGTAGATGTTGGGTGTTGGGTGGTAGATGTTGGTAGATGTTGGGTGGGTGGTAGATGTTGGGTGTTGGGTGGTAGGTGTTGGGTGTTGGGTGGTAGATGTTGGGTGTTGGGTGGTAGATGTTGGGTGTTGGGTGGTAGAGTGTGGGTGTGGTAGATGTTGGGTGTTGGGTTGGGATGGTAGATGTTGGGTGTTGGGTGGTAGATGTTGGGTGTTGGGTGGTAGATGTTGGGTGTTGGGGTTGGTAGGTGGTGTTGGGTGTTTGGGTGGTAGATGTTGGGTGTTGGGGTGGTAGATGTTGGGTTGGGTGGGTGGGTGGTAGTGTTGGTGTGTTGGGGATGTTGGGTGTAGGTGTTGGGTGTTGGTGGTAGATGTTAGGTGGTAGTTGGGTGGGTGGTAGATGTTGGGTGTTGGGTGGTAGATGTTGGGTGTTGGGTGTAGGGTGGGTGGGATGTTGGGTGTTGGTGTGGGTGTTGGGTGTTGGGTGTTGGGTGGTAGATGTTGGGTGTTGGGTGGTGGTGGGTGTGGGTGGGTGGTAGATGTTGGGTGTTGGGTGTGTTGGTGTTGGATGTGGGTGTTGGGTGTTGGGTGTTGGGTGGTAGATGTTGGGTGTTGGGTGGTAGATGTTGGGTGTTGGGTGTTGGGTGTTGGGTGGTAGTGGGTGGGTGTTGGGTGTTGGGTGGTAGATGTTGGGTGGTATGTTGGGTGTGGGTGTTGATGTTGGGTGTTGGTGATGTTGGTAGTGTTGGTGTGGTTGTGGTAGATGTTGGTAGTGTTGGGTGGTAGATGTTGGGTGTTGGGTGGTAGAGGTGTTGGGGTTAGGTGGGTGGTAGATGTTGGGTGGTAGATGTTGGGGTGTTGGGTTGGGTGTTGGGTGTTGGGTGTTGGGTGGTGTGTTGGGTGTGTGTTGGGTGGTAGTGTTGGGTGGTGTTGGGTGGTTGGGGTGTTGGGTGTTGTTGGGTGGGTGTTGGTTGGGTGGTAGATGTTGGGTGTTGGGGTTGGGTGGGATGTTGGGTGTTGGGTGGTATGTTGGGTGTGGGTGTTGGGTGTTGGTTGTTGGTGGTAGATGTTGGGTGTTGGGTGTTGGGTGGTAGAATGTTGGGTGTTTGGGTGTTGGGTGGTAGATTTGGGTGTTGGTGTGGGTGTTGGGTGGTAGATGTTGGTGTTGGTAGTGTTGGGTGTGTTGGGTGGTAGATGTTGGTGTTGGTGGTAGATGTTGGTGTTGGGTGGTGTTGTTGGGTGTTGGGTGGTAGATGTTGGGTGTTGGGTGTTGGGTGGTAGATGTTGGGATGTGGGTGTTGGGTGTAGAGTGTTGGTGGTTGTTGGGTGTTGGGTGGTAGATGTTGGGTGTTGGGTGGTAGATTTGGGTGTTGGGTGGTGTGTGGGTGGTAGATGTTGGGTGTTGGGTGGTAGATGTTGGGTGTTGTGTTGGGTGGTGTTGGGTGGTAGATGTTGGGTGGTAGTGTAGGTGTTGGGTGTGGTGGGTGTTGGGTGGTAGATGTTGGGTGGTAGATGTGGGTGGTGTTGGTGTTGGGGTGGTAGATGTTGGGTGTTGGGTGTTGGTAGATGTTGGTAGTGTTGGGGTGGTAGATGTTGGGTGTTGGGTGGTAGATGTTGGGTGTTGGTGTTGGTGTTGGGTGTTGGGTGGTAGATGTTGGGTGTTGGGTGGTAGATGTTGGGTGTTGGGTGGTAGATGTTGGGTGTTGGGTGGTAGATGTTGGGTGTTGGGTGTTGGGTGTTGGGTGGTAGATGTTGGGTGTTGGGTGGTAGATGTTGGGTGTTGGGTGGTGTAGATGTTGGGTGTTGGGTGTTGGGTGGTAGATGTTGGGTGTTGGGTGTTGTGGGTGTTGGGTGGTAGATGTTGGGTGGTAGATGTTGGGTGGTAGATGTTCGGGATCACCTCTCTCTGGTTGGGGAAGCCGTTGGAGCTGATGATGCGTTTGTAGAAATGAACCGAGGCTTTGGGGTAACGAGCTTTGTCTTTGTTTCTGAAGTCGACGTAGAAAAGACCAAACCTCTCGGTGAAACCTTCATCCCACTCGAACTTATCGAGCAGAGACCAGGCCGTGTAGCCCTTCACGTTCACGCCGTCTTTGATGGCTGCGGACATCGAGAACATTTTAAAAACAGTTTCATGTTTTTATATAATTCTCTTTTCATCGTGTCTCTGGTGTTTGACCTTTGAGCATCTCGTTGATATAATCTTTCAAATACTGGATCCTCCACTCGTCACAAAGCTCCGTGCACCGCATCTTCTCTGAGACGCCGTTTTCCGTCACAAAGACCATGGGGTTTCCATACTGACTCTGAGCAGGACCAACAAACACCAGTGTGACTTTGTGTCAGGAGTTTATACTTGTATTATATACTTGAGTATGTACTCGAGTATATACTTGAGTATGTACTGGAGTATATACTTGAGTATGTACTGCAGTATATACATGAGTATGTACTGAGTATATACTTGAGTATGTACTGGAGTATATACTTGAGTATGTACTCCAGTATATACTTGAGTATGTACGAGTATATACTTGAGTATGTACTGAGTATATACTTGAGTATGTACTGGAGTATATACTT